TACTTACTAAAATAATTGCACTTCCATGTTCTGTGTACTGCGGGAGACCAGATGTAGTGAATGCAGGGTCCTGGGTTTAGTAACACTTTAACATGACCACCCTCAACCGAATGGTTTGCTGTCTCCCTGGTGCCAGGGTTTGACATGTGGTGGAACCAATGACAGAATACATGGAAGGTGGAGGCTCCTTAAGAATCAATTTAAAGAATTAGGCTGCAAGTTGAAGGGAAGGACCTCCAAGGTGATATTCTCTGAAGTATTACCTGTGCCATGCACAACAACTCATGAAAGACAGGGGGGAGATTAGAGAAATAAAGGCATGACCAAAGACCTGGTGTAAAGAGGGAAGGATTTGGGTTTCTAAAGCACTGGGCTGACTTTTCATTGGGGTGCAGCCAATATGCTAGAGATGGCTTGCTTTTAAATGGAAGGGGGTCTGCTGTGCTGGGGGAGAGGTTTATGGGACAGCTGGGGAGTACTTAAACTAGGATAGAGGGAGGAGGGAGAATTAAATTATAATTGGGCAGACAGATCAGACAGGGGTCAGTCCTTATTGGTGGGAGGAATGAGCAAAGATGGGGGAAGGCTATGGCAGGTGATAATAAGGTGCCCTTGTTACAAACAACCATTGGAATTGGTACCATTTGTACAAAAATAAAAAAACATGCAAAATACATGTGCAAAAGGTGTCAATGCATTAAAGTGTTTGTTCACCAATGCCAGAAGTCTGCCAAGCAAGATAGGCAAGTTGGAAGCTTTGGTGCATGAAGAGAACTATGATTTAATTGGTATTGCTAAATCTTGGCTTCATTCTTCACACTTCTGGGCCATTAATATTCCTGGCTCTGTTCTCTTTTGGAGAGACAGGATAAAAAGGTAACGTTGTGGTGTCTGTCTCTATGTGAGAAATTATCTCAGAGTGAATCTGAAAGAGGACCTAGTTTAATGGAGAGTGTGATGAGGCTGAAGAATTATGGGTGGAACTGCACATAGGGGTGCGTACTACAAAGATAACGGTTGGAGTTTGTTATAGGCACCCACCCAGTGTTAATGAGGAGGTGGAGCTCCTTGCACAGATCGAAAGGACTGCAAGGGCTGGGAGAGTGATAATAATGGGGGGGTGTCAGGGCTCCCAGGTATGACCAGAGGTGTGTGACTGATGCAGGGAAACGCAGACTTCAGATATGTGATAAACAAATACAATATATTAACACTAACAATACAAACATAAATGCAGTGCAATACTAAAACATAACACAGTGCAAACAAACCAAAACCAACCACCCACAGATAACAGTATATACAAGCAAGCGTCGTCAGGCAGGCCGAGGGTCAATATCAATGGGCAGGTAGGTACAGGGGGAGCAAGCAGAGAATGGTCGGGGGTCACAGGCCAGGTTCAGCAGGTAGCAAGCAGCGTAGTACAGAGGGTCAGACAGAAGGATGGTCAGGGTCACAAGCCAGGATCAGAGCAGGAGAAGTCAGCAAAGGAACAGAAAACAGGATGCAGGACAGATACAGGGCCCAGGACAAACACAACACCAAGGCAGAGTCTGCAAGTCTGGCCATCCCTTAAATACCCCAGTATCATCAGTTCCAGGTGTTAGCTGGCTGAAAGGTTGAGTCTCTGATTGCTGGGAGCACCCGCTGGCCAGCCCTGGTACTGCAGATCAAAAGGCAGGTGAGTCCCACCATTGCTGGCCAGTCCATTCCTAACAGTACCCCCCCCTCAAGGAGCGGCCTCAGGAACGCTCCAAACAGTCCTAGCTGGGCAAAATGTTCCACCGCCCGGGTCTGTGTCTGGTAACTGATGCGGGATATCAAAGACTGGCACACCGGGCAGGACTCCGGGCAGCGGCACACCGGGCTGGACTCCGGGCAGAGGCACACCGGGCTGGACTCCGGGCAAGGCAGAGGCACATCGAGCAGAGGCACATCGGGCAGAGGCACATCGGGCAGAGGCACATCGGGCAGAGCAGGCCACATCGAGCAGAGGCACACCGGGCAGGACTCCGAGGCAGCAGGCACACCAGGCACATCGAGCAGAGGCACACACCAGAGGGCAGAGCAGAAGGCACACGGCAGGACTCCCGGCAGAGGCACATCGAGCAGAGGCACACAGGCAGAGGCACATCGTGGCAGGAACTCCGGGCAGAGGCACATCGGGCAGGACTTACGGGCAGAGGCACAATCGGGCAGCACTCCGGGCAGAGGCCACATCGGGCAGGACTCCGGGCATGAGGCGCACATCGAGCAGAGGCACACACCGGGCAGACAGGCTACACCAGGCAGTAGAGGCACATTCGGGCAGGACTCGGGCAGAGGCAGTCAATACGGCACATCGGGCAGGATCTACTCCGGGCAGAGGCACATCGGGCAGCACTCAGACGGGCAGAGGGGACACATCTCGGGCAGGACTCCAGGGCAGAGGCACATCGGGCTAAGAGACTCCGGGCACTGAGGCACATCGGGCAGGACTCCAGCGGCAGAGGCACATCGGGCAGGACTCCGGAGTAAGAGGCACATCGGGCAGGACTCCGGGCAGCCAGGGCACATCGGTTTACCACGGGCGAAGCAATTGGTTTACCAGACAAGCAGCGCTGGCCACCAGGCGGAGCAGCAGGCACCCGTGCCCCCGGAGCGGAGCAGCAGGCTCCGGTAGCCCCGGGCACCAAGCAGCAAGGCCCCCCCCACCGGGCCCCCGGGCGGCTGTATCAGCAGCAGGCACCGGGCCCCCCCGGGCGGAGCAGCAGTGCAAAGGGCCCTTCGTTTTAGGGCGGGGCGAAATGCATCGGGGCCCCCAGGCGTGATAAGCATGCAATGGCACCGGGCCCCCCGGAGGATTATGGGCGACAATGCATCGGTGCCCCCGGGCGGAGCAGCAGCAGTGCACTTGGGCCCCCGGGCGGAGCAGGCAGGCAGTAACCGGGCATCCCCGGGCGGAGGCAGCACAGGCACCGTGGCCCCACTGGGCGGGCTAGAGGCTGGGCACTCCGGGCACGGTAGCGGGACCGCAGGCTCCCCCGGGCGGGGCGAGCATGCATCCGGGCCCCCGGGCGGAGCAGGCATGCAACCCGGGAGTTGCCCCGGGCGGGGTCGACAAGCATACCGAGCCCCCCGGGCGGAGCAGCAGCCACACCCGGATCCCCCCCCCTGGGCGGAGCAGCAGGCACCGGGCCCCGGGCTAGCGGGCAGGCCAGCATGGCAGCACCTGGCGCCGCATAGCCTGGCAGGACACCGGAGTCCCAGCAAGGCCCCCGCCCCCAAGGCACCGGGGCCCCCCAGCAGCGGAGAAGCAGTCAAATGGCCACACCGGGCCCCCAGGCGGACATATGGCGACAGGCAACCGTGCCCCCAGGGCGAGGGCGACAGGCACCGTGCCCCCAGGCGGGGCGACAGGGCATCGTGCACCCCCAGGGCGGGGGCGACAGGCTACAGGCGGCCGGCGAATACGTGCCCCCCAAGGCGGGGCGAAACAGGCATCTAGGACGGGAGACTAAACCACAGGCATCGAGGCGACAAAGGCATCGTGCCCCCAGGCGGGGCGGACAGGCATCGTGCCCCCCAGGCGGGGCGACAGGGATCGTGCCCCCAGGCGGGGCGACAGGGATCGTGTGCCCCCAGGCGGGGCGGCTCGGGCATCGTGCCCCCCAGGCGGGGCGGCGTGGCGCCGGAACCCCCAGGCGGAGACTGCGACAGGTCTCGGGCCCTCAGGCGGTAGCGGGCGAGGCGAAGCGCGGACCCCCATGGCAAAAGTGAGAGCGACAGGTCTCGGGCCCTCAGGCGGAAGGAGCCCTTAATAACAATTAATAATTTAGCGGCGGGCGCCGAGCACCCTCAGGCGGAGCGACAGGTCTCGGGGCCCTCAGGCGGAGCGTTTACGCGGGCGCCGGACCCCCAGGAGGTAAGCGACAGGTCTCGGGCCCTCAGGCGGAGCGGCTTTGGACGCCGGACCCCCAGATGAGAGCGACAGCGTCTCGGGCCCTCAGGTGGTGAGGAGTCGGCGGGCGCCCGGACCCCCAGGCGGAAGCGACAGGTCTCGGGACCTCAAGGGCGGCAGCGGCACTGGGCGCCGGACACCCCAGGCGGTAGAGCGACAGGTCTCAGGGCCCTCAGGCGGAGCTGAGCGGGCGCCGGACCCCCAGGATAGGAGCGACAGTCTCGGGCCCTCAGGCGGAGCGGCGGGCGCCGGACCCCCAGGCGGAGCGACAGGTCTCGGACCCCCAGGATTGGAGCGACAGGTCTCGGGGCCACTCAAGGCGGAGCGGCCCGGGCGCCGAGAGCCCCAGGCGGAGCGATCAGGTCTCGGACCCTCAGGCGGAGCGGCATGTGGAGCGCCGGACTCCCAGATATGGAACGAAAGGTCTCAGAGCCCCCAGGCGGGGCGCGCTGGCTCAACATGGCACCGAGTACACCAGGCACAACCGTGGTGACTCGAGGTCAACTGGGATGACCGCTGGCACTGGGTCAGACATTGGATTCGTATGGTTGGACAGCGTGTCCATCGGGGTCACCATCGGCATCAAGGTCATTTTGAGCTCGACAGCGGGCACCGCGTCATCTGCAAGGCAGTGGGCTCCGAGTCAACTGGTGTAATGACCGCGGGCACTGGGTCAAGACATTGGATCGTCTGGCTGGACAGCGGGCACTGGGTCACCGAGGCATCAGGTCAATTTGGCTTGACAGCGGGGCACCGCGTCATCTTGGCAATGCAGTGGGCTCCGAGTCAACATGCACGACAGTGAGCACGAGTGTCATCATGTGTACCGGAAATTGTCTGGCTCGACAGCGGGCACACGCGTCATCTGGCAATTGGCAGTGGGCTCCGAGTCAACATGGGTATGACCGCGGGCACTGGGTCAGATCACTTGGGATCGTCTGGCTGGACAAGGCGGGCACTGGGTCACAGGCATCAGGTCATTTGGCTTGACAGCGGGCAACCGCGTCATCTGCAAAGGCAGTGGGCTCCGAGTCAACAGGCACGACAGTGAGCACGCAGGGTCATCAGGTACCCGGATTGTCTCTGGCTCGACAGCGGGCATAGGGTCACCAGGTATGTGACAGCGTTACGGGCACTGGTGGTCACCAGGCCATCAGGTCATTTGGCTCGCTATTGACAGCGGGCCACCGGATTCATGGTATCCAGGATCATCTGGATCAACAGCGGGCAATCGAGTCAACTGGCCTAATAGGATCGTCAGGAGTGCTGATCAGTCATCATCGATGCCTGGGTAGAGGCATCAGGCCAAGTAGCAGGCTTCAGGGCTTATCCGAGTAGAGGCTTCAGGCCGAGTAGAGGCTTCAGGCCTTGAGTAGAGGCTTTCAGGCCGAGTATTGATGGCATCAGGAATCTACGTAGCTAAGTAGAGGCCATCAGGCGACCGAGTAGATGGCTTCAGGCCCTGAAGTAGAGGCATCAGAGCCGAGTAGTAGAGGCATCATGCCGAGTAGGACGGCATGCCAGGATCCTGAGTTCAGGCTTTACGAGTAGAGGCATTTCAGGCCGAGTAGAGGCTTCAGGGTCCGAGTAGATAGGCATCAGGCCCGAAGTAGAGGCTTTAGCGCCGAGTAGAGGCTTCAGGCCGTAGTAGACCGGCATCAGGGCTGAAGAGAGGCCATCAGGCTGCGCATCACCGGCATCAGGCCCTTAAGCAAGAGGCTTCATGGGCTCTGAACCACGGAAGGCACGGGCTCACCCGGTTTGGATACTGGCAGGATGGTATTGGTTGGAAAGAATTTTATCGCTTTTTTCTGGTTTTAACTACTGGAGACACTGCAAGTAAACGCAGTCGTCTGCAAACGATAATGGAGCAGCTGGAGACAGAGAAGAACTGGAGGATGGCAACAGGAGAGGGACTATACAGCGCAGTTGCTACAGAGGGCTCTTTTACAGGGTATTAAAGGCAGGATAGGTGCAGCGAGTCTAAGGTGGGAAAGGGTACTGACATGTATGCGGTAGATAGCAGGGCTAGGAGGAGCTGTTGGGAATGCAGGAATAGAGTTTTGAGGAAATAGATTAGAAGCTAGGACTGGGTCTTCTATGTAAGCTGACTGAGGTCCTGGGTTCAACAAGTCTGTCCATGTTCTGCAGTAGGGGGTATGGGTTGAACAAAGCTGAGCTTAACACAAGCCTGTACTGGTCAATGACTTGCACTGCGTTTATACAGTCTCTTAGTACCTGTGGTGAACCATGTGGGATTAACGCTCCAGAAAGTAACCCATCATTCATCCTCTAATAACCACCACCAGGGACTATACCTGGTCTGACACTAAATGGTGGCAAAAAATTCATCCCTGCATCTCGGGGAACCAGATGAAACCAATTCCAGCACAAACTTCAATCAAAGGCTGCACCTCAGAGAACTCTATGCCACCCTGATCTACTAAGAGAACATGAGCGAGCCCGTATACATTCTAGCAGTTCATTCCCGGGTATACTCCTTCACAGAGTCCTGATAAGCATACTCCCTGTCATCCAAACACTAGCAGATATAAAATATTCAACCTCATCCAGCATCCATCCTTCCCATCCAACAAGCCAAGATGTCGGCTTCCCTGTAGCCAGCCACCTTCTGGTCAGGATTGGCCTTGGTGTAATGTCAGGGCTCCCAGGTATATGACCATGAGGTGTGTGACTGATGCAGGGAAACGCCACGAGACTTCTTTTATCAGATATGTGAATAAAACAATACAATTTAATTAACACTAACAATACAAACAATAAATGCAGTGCCAATACTAAAAAACATAACACAGTGCACAAACAAACCAAACAACCACCCACAGATAACAGTATATACAAGCAAGCGTCGTCAGGCAGGCAGGGTCAATATCAATGCGGCAGGTAGGTACAGGAGGGTGAGCAGCAGAGAGAGAATGGTCGGGGTCACAGGCCAGGTTTCAGCAGGTAGCAAGCAGCGTAGTACAGAGGGTCAGACAGAAGGATGGTCAGGGTCACAAGCCAGATCAGAGCAGGGTAGAAGTCAGCAAAGAACATTAGAAACACAGGATGCAGGGACAGATACAGGGCCCCAGGACAAACACATAACAACACCAAGGCAGAGTCTGCAAGTCTGGCCATCCCTAAATACCCCAGTATCATCAGTTCCAGGTGTTTAGCTGGCTGAAAGGTGTTGCAGTCCTCTGATTGCTGGGAGCACCCTCTGGCCAGACCCTGGGTAGTACTGCCAGATCAAAGGCAGGTGAGTCCCACGCATATTGCGGTTGGCCCAGTCCCTTCCTAACAGGGGGATTTTAACTACACGGTAAATTGACTGGAGTAATTGGCACAATCGGCAGGAAAGTTAAAAGGGGAAAAAATGTATAAAACCTTACTACAGAGACAATTTTATGGTACAAATGAATAGAAGCCCCAACTATGGATATGATGCTCTGCTGGACCTAAAGGTAATCTCGAACCATGCAGAGGCGTATTACTAATTGTTCCATAAAAATAACATTCTGGGATAGCATTGTGACCATAACATGATTTCATTTATTGTTAGCAGTAAATAACAAAACCACTCACAGGAAAAATAAACAAAGCTCAACTTTAGGAGAGCTAATTTTTCCAAGGCTGACGAGCTGCCTCTCCAAGACTTAGACTGGGAGGAAATATTGGCATCATTATGAGCAAACACAGAATGGGGGTATTTCTTCAAATAAGTCTCCTGTATGTGAACCCTCTCCAAAATATATTCCCATGGTGCAACAAGTTTAAAAGGCTAAAATTCCAGTAACCTATGTGGCTTAGGCCAAAGTTAACAAAAGCTATAGATAATAGGAAAAGAGCTTTTATTATTAATATAAAAATGAGGCAATAGAACGCATATCATTGTTTTTAAAGATTTACAAAGAGAATATAACAGTAATATGCAAAAAGGAAATCACAGGCCGCAAAAATTGAAAACGAACGACAGATTGCCAAAAGACTAGCAGGACCAACCCCCACAAATTCTTCGAAATATATTAATAGTAAAAAGGTTCGGTCTTGAGCAATGTAGGCCCTTTACAAAATAATCTAGAGTGTCGGTGACTGGGAACAAAGAGAAGACAAATTTAATAATATACCCTTCTTCAGCTCTGTGTATACAAAGGAGCATGGAGGAGCTCTTGTCCATAATGGGCAAGGTATTGACACAGCTCCAGATGAATCCATATTGGCTCATAACTGATATGATCCAGAAATATTTAGACAGAATAAAGGTGAAATAAAGCACCTGGACCAGGATGGTATATCACCCACGGGTCCTTAAAGAATTGAGCTCTTTTTATTTCCAAAGCCATTGTTTCTAATTTTTTAGGGACTCTTTAATGACTGGCATGTTACCACTGGATTGGCGTAAAGTCAGTCTGCCGCTTATATTTAAAAAGGGATCAAAATTCATTTACAAAGTAATTATAGATCTGTTAGTTTAACTTCTATCAGTTGGGAGATTACAGGAGAGTTAGTTTATAAAAGTAAAAGACCACATAGATGAGTTCTTGCTGGTTTAAAAAAATATTTTAAGCCAACAGACAGCATGGATTCATGTGAAGAAGACAAGTTGTCAAATAAATCTGATTTCTTTTTATGAGGTGAGCAAAACCTTGGACAGACGGGGTGGTGTATAGTGGACGTGTATAATATATTTGTATTTTGCATAAAAGCATTTGACGAAGTTTCCCACACACGGCTAATGTGTAAAGGTAAAGATTATGGAGCTTGGAAAAATCTGTATGTAAATGGATAGAAAAACTGGTTAAAAGATACGTATTCAGAGAGTAGTGGTTAATGATTCATCAATTCTGAATGGTCTAGGGTTGTAAGTGGTGTACCCCAAGGTTCAGTGTTGGGACCCTTACTTTTTAATATATTTATAAACGATATAGGGTCTGGGATTAAAAATTACCATTTCAGTCTTTGCAGATGACACCAAGCTGTGCAGTAGGAATAACGTCCTTACAGGATGTCTCCACTTACAAGCTGACCTCAATGCACTGTTTAATTGGGCAACTATGTGGCAAAATGAGGTTTAATGTTGATTAAATGTAAGTTATGCACTTGGGGGCTAAGAATATGCATGCATCATACATACTAGGGGAGTGTGCAACTGTGGGGGAGTCAATAGTGGAGAAGTGGATCTGGGAGTTCTGGTAGATCACAAGCTTAATAATGGCAGGCAATGCCAAGCTGTGGTTTCTAAAGCAAGCAAAATCCTCTCTTGTATTAAAAGTGGTATAGACTCCAGAGAGAGAGATATCATATTACCCTGTACAAATCATTAGTAAGACCTCATCTGGAATATGCAGTTCAGTTTTGGGCACCAATTCATAAAAAACATTGGGGAACTGGAGAAACTGCATAGAAGGGCAACCAAAACTGATACGAGGCATGGAGGAGATCAGCTATGAGGAAAGATTAGAGGAACTGAATTTATTCTCTCTTGAGAAGAGGAGATTAAGGGGGGAAATTTATCAACATGTATAAATACATCAGTGGTTCATACAGTGAACTTTGTGTAGAGTTATTCACCCTGAGGCCATCACAAGGGATGGGGTACTCTTTACATCTGGAGGAAAAGAGATTTAATCTCCAAATACAGAAAGGTTTCTTCACAATAGGAGCTGTGAAAAATGTTGAATAGACTTCCTCAAGAGTTGGTTCTGGCCAGCTCAGTGGATTGCTTTAAAAAAAAGGCCTGGAATATTTCTTGGATACACATAATATAACTCGATACTAACATTTATAGGTAAAGTTGATCCAGGGAATATCCAATTGCTTCTCAGGGGATCAGGAAGGAATTTTTCCCCCCTGCAGAAGCAAATTGGATCATGCTTTGCTGTGTTTTTTTTTGCCTTCCTCTGGATCAATTGTGGGTATAGGATTATAACTTTTTTTTTTGTTGAACTGGATGGACTTTTTTTTCAGCCAGACTAACTATGTAAACTATGACCATGTGTGTCTCCTAAAGCATTTGTCCAACTGTAAACTAATGTAACATCATATCACTTAGCAGTTACCAGCAGGCTACAGAAAGGTGGGGTGAACACTCAGTTCTTGTATTAAAAAAAGCTTTTTTTGGCAACTGGAAAACATCAACAGGTAAATAATACATTTTACAGCATGATGATCTAATCAGAGCACATCTATAGAGATGCAACTGCATTCAGCATTATAATAATGTTATAATATCGCGATGTCTGGTTGACTGGGGTGTCGCGGTGTGAGGGGAGACTCAGGATCAGATTTACACTATGGGAGATATCTTTCTTTTATATTATTATTATACAGTATTTATAAAGCGCCAACAGTTCGCTCAGCGCTGTAACATTATTAAAGGTAGACAGAACATGCGACAGTACGAAAACAATACAATGTGATACACGAGGGGTTCGAGGGCCCTGCTCTTTCGAGCTTACACACTAGGAGGGAGGGGATAGTAGTACAGTAGGCGATAGCTGTGGGGAATGGAGTGGTAGGAAGAGTGGAGGAGGTCGGCAATAAGCAGTGGGGGGTGGGGTAGGCTTCCCTGAAGAGGTGGGTTTTCAGGGTGTGCCTAAATGAGAGGAGAGTAGGTGATAGTCTGATGGATTGGGGTAGGGAGTTCCAGAGGATAGGTGATGTCCTGGAGAAA